TGGAGAACTATGTGAGGAAGGACAGATTCAAGTGCAGCCTTTGTACCTTCTTTATTTTTTCATTATTTATTTTTTCATGCTAATATTATTTTAAGTGCTAAGTATTGTTTAAGGTTGTTTTAAAAAAAATTTAAACTTAGAAATATATCTAAATAATATATTTTTTATTTTTTAAAAAATTATTTTTAACATTAATATATTAAAATAATCTAAAATTATAAAAAAATAATTTAAAATAAAAAATTTCAAAATTTCAAAAACATTTTTAAAAAAACTATTTAACTCCTACAAATACCTATCCAATTATTAAAATAAAAAAAACTTTGGTTTTTCAAATTCGAAGAGTCCCATCGGATATCATCATATTTTATACCTTCTTCTTCATTTATTTGGTCTAATCCAAGGAAAAGAAGATTTTATATATATATACATTTTCTTGAAGTGCATACTAAATTGTAATCAATATTGTTTGGTTTTTAATATATTAAAGCTTGAACTTGCAGATCAATTTATGGTTTATTTGAACACAATCTGAGATATTTATGGTTTATTTCACTCCATTTTATCATTAAACCAATGTGATTTCTCAATCTTTTTCAATATAAAAAAATATTTTAGCCCATTTTAATGCTTTGATATGAATATGTCTTTTAAATAAAATATTTCAATTCTATAAGTTCATGGTGTCATAGAAATGCATCAATCATCCCTTCTTTTTTTTTTTTCGTTAAATAATTATAAAAAACTATATAAAAAAAAAAAAACAAAAGATTCTTCTATGCAACAATAGTATGAAAATAAAATGCCGTACTTATAGAATTGACTTGGATAGTACCTGCCTTGGATGAGAACGGTATGTACCTGAGGAAGATAGGCTCAAGAAAGATGTTCAAGTATCTATCTAGGAAGGCTATAACTCGTGGAGGGTCCTTGTGTGTACACAAATCCTTATACAGGCATACCAAATTTATTTAGGAATATAATTATAATTGTTTTTTAAATAATTTTTCATGTTAAAATATATATTAATAATTTTTTTATTTTTAAAAAATATTTTTAATATCAACACATTAAAATAATTTAAAAATATTAAAAATATATTAATTTGAAGTAAATAAAAAATAAAAAATTTTCATCCATTTTTAAAATATTTTTTGAAATTCAAAAATAAACAATATATTTAAATTAATTTTTAACTCACATTATCATTTATATTTTCAAGAAATAACTTGTACTGCAATTAATATAATTCCACAATAAAATTTATACTTGCAAAAAAAACTCAATCATTAATTATGATTTATCCAATTAATAAATTAAAATTTATGACTAAATAAGACTCCTTGTATAGTATGGTATAAAAACAAGCATTAATAAAAAATCATCTGACGTATTATTGACGCAGAAATACACTAATAACGGGGGATGTTTTATACTTTATATTAAAAAAAGAAGAGGCTAATTTAAAAAATTAAAAAGCAAAAGTAGAAGATGCTATTTTATACAATAGCAACAAAGGCAAAGAGATTGCCGTACTTATAAAATGCACTTCTTCCATGGCATCCACCTTACTCAGATACGAACTCTATGATAATATATAGCTAGCAAGGTAAGAGTTCCGAATCAGGGACGTAGTGCCCTCATGGAGGGTCCTATCTCCCATGAAATTGCCACAAATTTGTGCCATTTTTTCCTTCAAGAACTCCTCTTGCTTTAGTGGGTCCAAATTTATTATAAAGACTAGGCATATACCTTCACACCCTTGGACTCTAAAGAAGACAAGGGTACTGAAATGTGTCCTTCAAAACGGAGTCGTGTACTAGCATGATTTCAACGCTTGATAAAGAAGAATGGTATCCAAAGACCGTAGAGAACAGAGTTGAGACTGTAGCGAGGAAAGGGAGTGGGAAGGATTGAAACCCTAGCTCAGAGCTATCATGTGTTCTTCAATCTATCAGATTTTATTCTGTTTTCTTTTTCCTAGCTGGTGAAGGTGTTTTTCTGGCTGTTCCTGTGATTATTATAGAGTAATATAAATTTATTCTTAAAAACTCATTTAATAATTTACATTTTTAGATTAAAATAGTTTTTTAAAGTTTTATTAACTCTAATAGTAAATATCTTACAAAATCATAGTTTTATTACTTTTAACTATATGTTTGGAAATGTAGTATTCAATGTTTTTTTAAAAATATTTTTCAATTACGGACATACCAAGATGGTGTTTATTCTAGATTTTTATTTATTTTTTATATTAATATATCAAAATTATAAAAAAAACATAAAAAACATAAATCTAATATATATTTTTTAAATAATTTAAAAAACGAGTTAAACTACATAAACAAATACACTCTAAAGAACATATTTAAGTGCATAAAATAATTGAGATTAGCTTTCCAAAATCCATCTCTAAAGCAAAGTAATGTTTAAAAATTAAAATGTTTTTGGATATTTTGAAACCTTAAAAGGCATCTAGTTAACGTAACACTAATTGCAGACGACACGCAGACAGGTAATTAATTTAACAAAATCTTTATGCAAATCCTAACCTTTTTATTATAAACAAATGTATGAATTCCAAAGAATTTCATAACGTTCAAGTTGCTGTGATTACCAATACTTACGTGGCATAAAAGAAATAAATATCAACAAAGAGAGAAAATGATATTCGATCCCATAAATCTAATTATCAAAAAATTTCATTTTTATAATTATTATTTTAATATACTTTTAAATAAAAAATACTTTAAAAATTAATTATTAATATATTTTCAAACACCGAATCTGAGGCATGATGATTTCGGTGGCAAACCATGTGCCATTCGACTTGAAAAACATAAGAACAGGAGAGAGTCAATGAAGGCTGCTCCAAATTTCGATCTCTCGTTTACATTTCTTTGTTCTTCGATGAATGATTCTTCCCATTGACAATTATTTTAAATTTGATTGCCAAAAGAATTCAACGAATTAATTCCACCTTCGTCTTCTTCGTTTAACAATTTTTTTTTTGATTTACGTGGGGAGTCCGGGCCAACTTACACGCACCCCGACTAATCCACATGATACACTGAACATCCTGTAAGCCCAATGAACAGATAAAACATCACAAGAATAACAAGCATGCATAATAAAATTCAAATCCATATAAAAAAAAAAAGATAAACCCCTCCCACCACAGGCAAGGCTTCGATTAACAATTCTTACACTTACAGTACATGGTGCGGTGTCGTTGCAAGCTATTTGCGTTGCTGCTCTCAAATCCTTCCACGACCTCGGTCTCTGTGATTTCCAAAAGTCAATTATCACGAAGCCTTTGACCAAATCACTAGGAGAAAATTGTACGGTTGGAAATGGTCAATCTTCCCCGTCCTCCACCTCCGAACAATCATATTCACAGGCCTCCAAAAGTGTACGGAAATGGGAAACTACGTAGCTTATGAGCAACTCTCTGTGTTTCTTCAAGTCAAAAGTTCAATTTGCATGAAGCTACCACTTATTCTTCTGTCTGTTGTTTTTTTTTTATTTTAATTAAAATTAAAATGGACACATAGATTTACCCATTACACATCAATATCCAATATGAAGGCTAGTCTACGAGTTCTTGAGCCAGCGTGAATCATTGAAAAAAAAAAAAAAAACATGGGAGTATTGTAAATTTTCTTCTTTTTTCTTTTGTATATAATAAAAAATCTAAGATCCAGATTGAAAACTCAATCAGTGTGCCAAATAAAATTAATAGATCATTATATATATTAATAAATGCAAAATAAAATTGGTGTGACTTGTTCAACCTAACAGGCCAAGAGACAAGCATATTACCTTGTTCAAATGATAATTTGGCTTCAATTTTTTTTATTTGTCATTGTTTTAACCTTTGCCTAACTCTATGGTGACAAAAAATTGTTCTGCAATACATCTCTTTCTTTTCTCATCCCTTAATTTCTCCCCTGCTTATGTTTAATTGGGTCTTAATTAATCTCGGGTATGCTGAAGTTCAAAACAAAATCAAAGAGCTATAAAAGAATTAGTGACCAAATAAAAAAAATTGTCTGAAGTCTAGGACTAGATCTAAATGGCACAAAACAATGAGGGTAAAATAAATTATCTGGCACGTGCAACATACATACTAACAAGTTATTAAACCGCCATGTTAAGATGGTGCATGCAGCTTCATCCGAGCTTCGATGGTAGTTTTTTGTTTTTTAGTGTTGTTGGAATCATCTCTTCAAGTGCTCTAACATAAGGCATCGCTTGTCGACAACAAAGTTACAACGGGACTTCGACAACCCATTCTTCTCTCATTTCTTTTCTTATCTCTTTCCTCTTTCACCCCCCTTAGTATGTGTGCATCAACTAAATCAAGCTGTAAGATAATACGGGCCAGTAGCTGTAAGAAAACAGATGAACAAACATTTGTTTCCTAGTTAAGCATTGAGTTCAGTTAAAAACTAAATCTTAAAAAACACGACGCTTCACATAAGGCTAGTGTAGGTTTTTTCAGTGAAGGTTCAAGTTAGAACTGTTTAAGCACGGGTCTGATAAAGCCTTCCCAGGTAAATCAGTAAATGGAAAGGCCAAGCAAATGGATCTTCATTTATTTACTTCTTTATAGTTAAAAACAGGCTCAGCCCAATACAAGATAGTTTAAGAAACCTGTCAGCATCATTGCCGACTTTCCATTTGGTGCAGGTGACATTTAAGTCAGCTTGACCTAACCAGGAAGAATCATGCTCGTGCCCCTCCACTGCGGGTCAATCACTTTTGATGCCTCTCCAATTAAAGTTGGATAAGCTTGAATCACTTATTACACAATCAAGCACTGAGGCAAAGCACCAAGGTTACCATCGTGGTTTCTAACTTTCTATAGCTCATGACCTAACATTCGTTTGATGTCCAGAGCAAGAAGTCAAAATGCTTTCCAGAAATCATTATAAAAGTTTAATGGAATCAAGAAAAAATGTAGATTTTTCCTAGGAATATCCTCTATGAAAAGAATATGGCCGAGAGAATGATTACTTTCCGTTTTTCTAAAAGGAGTACATGACAGGATATGATGTTTTCCTAAAGTTCAAGTTGAAAATTGCTTTACAATTACAAGAAAAGTGCTCATGTTCTTTTCAAAGAATAAGTCACATCATATTATAGAAATTCTTAAGGATTGGGATTGTACATGACCTAACTTTGGCTTGCATAACACAGTGCCACATAGAGCTTGATTGGAATGCCTCATTTATTGACAGTCTAATAGCAGAAAGATGTTAGTAACAAAATTGCCCTGCTGTTCTAGGCAACAAAAAAGTACCCCAGTTCCCCGAGTTAAAGCATTTGAGTGGTCATGTAGTGAGAGTGAGAATTGAAATCTATGAGGCCTAATCTTCTGTTGATCTTTAGCAGCTTAGTGGCAGAGCAGCAGGCTGGTAATTGACTGGCTGTAGGTATCAATCATTAAACCCTACCTAGGAAGATCTGATTACAGTAAATCTTCAGGTGATGATCTGATTACCCATTCTAGCAACACGAACAATTTCTCAAAGTGAAAGAGGTAAGTGAAAGAGGTGTTTCCGAACTCGATAAAGATGCGTGCTATAGAGCAATGCAGCAAATGTTACTGCCGAAAAGGACAACAGAATCAACTCCCAGAAATCCTGAACGACCATGCAAATGGTAAACTGTGTGAGTAAAGCTGTAAAGCATGGAAACCTGGAAGGGAAATGTAATTCTAGTTCAAATGTCTGGTGAAACAGTAAAAGTTTGCACGAAACAGATAATTGCAGAAGGGTAAGTTTATGAGTGTGTGTGACTAGTTACATGTATATTATGAGTTTGTGTTATTAATTACATATACAAGTACCTCTCCTATAGAAAGCGCTGAGTCATGCCGAAGTGTTGCACAAAGACATGGTCCAAGGATGATTTTACCTGAGGGTTGGAGATGATCATGCCCATGATATAACTCAACATGTCCATAGTAGATTGGAGAGAGTTTTGAACACCTCCAACAACACACCGATCAGATTCGGGAACTTGATCCTGTGCCCCCAGAATAAGGTTAACAGAACGATTATTTTTCATGAAATTAGTAACTTGAGCAAGGCTAAAAAAAAGAGTTGAAACAGAAAAGGTGAAAAACATTGAAACAGAACTAAGCATTATTTTAGCATGATGGTTTTTCTGACCTGCATTTGTTGAATTACAGATAAGTCAAACATCCATAAGCCCAGCCGAGATGTTGCTACTCCAGCCATCAGCATGTATGCCGATGAAAGATGATTTCGGACCCATATTGAAGCAACACATATAAGAAGGCAGGTCCACTGCTTGAAATGCACATAATGGGGATATTTTTAAAGGTCGAAATAGGGATGGATTCCGCCAAGAAATGAGTTAATGGAGAAAATAACAGCAAAGTATCACCTGAGACCAGATTGCCCACAATCCTGGTCTGAGAGTTGAGACATGAGATTGTAAAATTGGGTACAAAACTGTTGCAGCTATGCCAATTACAGCGCTTATTCCACGGGCTATTCCAATCACAAATGCAGGTATCCCTCTCCATTCCAAAGTAGCTGTCATCAAGGTGCCAAAGCTGGAACAGTATAGCCATTAAGAACTTTTAGCAGTTAGGAACCAAAGCCAGATCCATAATGAGATAAAGTGGAAAAATAGGAAGAGAAAAAACATTCTGGTCAGCATCTTATGCCATAGAATATACTGAGATCACCATCCTATTCAATCCATACGTGTCAGGAAAGTCTTTAAATAAATACAAGAAAGCCATAGAGACATGCTCTGAGCCTTTTATTCATGTTTTGAAAATTACACTTTATATTATAAATCAGACTAAAATTTCAAACTATATAAAATGATAAGAAAAAAACCCCAAATCAAAAAGCATTTGATGAGAAAATGTCTGGTTTCAAGTGATAAGCAAAAGATATGATACAACATCCACTTTTGATATCCATTTTTTATTTTCTCATACACGTTCTTCTGTTCAAAAACCAAAATCATGACAGAACCTATTATTATGCATCCAAAACCCATTAACAGAAATGTCTCCTTTCCCCAATTCTCATCCTCATGATGTTTTGAAACTTTAAAAACGAACCCAACGGTTTTAAATTTCTCAACCTGATCTACTATTTCAGTTTCTCTGTCCTCTCTGGAGAGTGGAATCCTCCTTCGTTTCCCTGCCAAAATCACTATAGCATCAACATTAATTAGCTCCAGATATCTTTGATTATTTCATCTCCAAACTTCTATAATCCAAAACACCACTTTTCATCCCTAAGAAATCATAACCAGGTTTGGTGCTAGAACTACTACTGCTTCCAATAGTACCCACTATGACATTGCAACTGCAATCCTTGCTGTTTTGTAGCCCTAAACTGCAAGCAAAACAAAGACTTGTACTTCCTTCAGCTTTGAATGGCTGGTGATGATCAGGCTGGGTTTAGGAAGGCTAATTATGAGTTCAAGACTCAAGTGAACTGGGGTCTTCTCTTCTTTGCATATTATTGTTGAAGTTTCTTTTGCTGGTTCGTTGTTCATCAAAGTTTCCTGGGTTTTTACTATGATAGCAAAGTTACAATATTCAATCTACGAGGGCTTTTTAATTATGAAGTTGAAAATAATAACAAAGTCAATTTTTAAAATACAGAGACAGAATTTTTTTTATCAAACTTGAGGAGACTCAATGTAATTATTATTATTATTTCCATCATAGATGACTAGTGAATTGCCAAGAAATAAAGGAAAGAAGACCATCCTTACAAATTATGGAAGTAGGTTGAGATGCTGTTCAGTTATGAATCAGAAACAAAACCACAAGCAGACCATCACCTGAGGGCTGTGAAATATAACAAAGCCAGAGCTACTCCAGGGAGCACAACATCTTGCTGAGAATACACACTCCAAGCACCAACAAAAGGCGTTTTTGAAAACCAATCAGTTAATCTCCTTCTCCATCCAATTTCCACTGAAACTGAAACTGAAACTTCATCGCTTTGAGAAATCAAGCCTACTCTTTCTGCAGAAGTAGATGCCATCTCTACCGTATCACTTGGTGAAAGTCGCGAAATCCTCCCTTGGCTGCTTTCAGCTAAAGCTGGAATGCCAGTATATACAGATGTGAAAAGCCAATATTCCAGCCACACTGCAACAGTATTCCAGATGGCTAAAGTCATAGCAGAGGCTTTAACTGATATAAAGCTCATTATGAGGCCACTGATAACAGGAGCAAGAAGCTTGCAGGTTAAATCAATTCGTCTCATAGTTGAGTTGATCTTTGTTAGTACATCAGGCGTATGGCCTTCTGATATCAACACCACCCTGCATTTTGAAAAGAAGCATCATCAAATTAGAAAATGTAAACTCACAAGACAAATTTTGATCACAACTTCAACAGACTAACGGCACTCCATTCGCTAATATCACTCTCTCTTCATAGTATAAATGCAATTCTCCAAATTACCATTCTCTTTCTATTAAGATGGTACCGGCAAGAGTGGAAAGCACACCAGTAGCTCCAGAGATGTTGGTTAATATCACAAGCAAAATGAATACTATGAAATTTGTCGACTTCAATGCCGGATAGAACAGTAATGTGATTACCGTGCATCCAGCTATTATAAAGGAAAAATTCTGGGTCACCAACCAAATTCGGAGAACCTGCCAATAAATGTTCTCTGAGAGAATATACATGTATGAAAAGGTAACAACATCAGTCACTTTGTAATGTCTATTTGTTATATTTTCTTGTTTTGTCATACAGACGAACACAGCATGAGTTGATTGAGGGCATTTCAGATGGTGATTACTTGAAAGGCATCCCCGATTTTACCATCAGAGGAGACAGGAACTGATGTTGAAGGCAATTAAATTCGATAAAAAGAACACGGTGCATTCAACCTGTCCAACGGTAGTGATGAAGCAATCATGATTCGAATCCTAGTACTATTGTATGAGGTTAAGACTACCAGAAACTTTGATTAAATTCGCAATTTTGGAACCGGCAATCTAGAAATGTGAATTTTATAAAGCACAATTTATTTATTTTTTTTCCATTAGGATGGGCATTATTAACAAGGCATGACCAAACCTTAAAATATGTCGACCTCTGCACCCATTGTCCGATGATGGGACCAAACAATGCAGTAGAAGCACATTCAATGGCACCATAAATAGCAGGAAGGATTAAAGAATCCGGCCAAAGAGTGATCATGTATAAACCAACAGAGAATTCCCACATTCTGCAGATAAGAAACAAGCAATTCAAATGAAAAGAAACCCTGATTCATTTCTCACAGTAATACATGCCAAGTCGCAAGTGTCAATCATCCAGTCCATGCGAAAGATGGCAGATCACTGAATTAGCTCACCAATTTGGTCTTCAAGGGAAAAAACAGACAAACAAATGAAAGAATCTTAATTCTGTCATCCTTTTCCCTCATCAAGAAAATCTTAGTTGAGAAAATACAAGGGAAAAGTCTCAATTTTACACAACCACAGACCAATACACACAATAGAGAGCCAGCTAGCAACTACAGGATAACAGATAAATATTCCGAGGGAGTTGCGATATAACCTGGCATCCCATCTCGCTAAAAAGTGGCCACTATACAAAATTCTGATAAGGGATGTAGGCAAAGAAGAGTCTTTGGAAGAAGAAGATTCTTGTTGTTGCTGTTGATCAAGACGTGGCTCTCTCACCATCCTCTTCTTTTTATTTCAGTTTCTTTAATTATTATTTTTTCACTACATCCACCCGCCTTCAAACCTCCTACGGCTAGGATTGAATCTTTTAGCCCTGATTATGGTGCTAAGTAACTGTGTTAATTGCAAAGGCGTGGACAGTGCGATGCTTTGCTGACCATGCATGAAGATGATTTTTAGATCGTTGTAAACCATTTAATGATGGTTGCTGGACTGGAAGCGGAGACGAGGACACATGCCGTAGAAGCATACAGGATTTTTTTCTTCTTTTTCAACGGAATAATTACTCTTCTTTTTATTTTTTAAAAGTATTTTTATAAAAAAATTATTTTTTTACTTTAATTTTTTGTTTTAATAGTTTCATGACATTTTCATATACTATGTTAATATATATATATATATATATATATGTTATTTTGATATATTTCTAAGTAAAAATTATTTTAAAAAGTAATGATTACTTTACTTTTAAAAACTTTCTAAAAAAAATACATGAGTTATTAAATTATTAAATCAATAGTTTTTATTTAAAAAATTAATATTATTTTAATATATTTCTAAATAAAAATTATTTTAAAAAATAATCATTACTATACTTTTAAAAACTTTCTAAAAAAATACTTGAGTTATTAAATTATTAAATTAATAGTTTTTATTTAAAAAATTAATACTTTATTTTATTTTATTTTTTATAGTTAATAGTATTGGATTTAAATTATTAATTGAATTAAATCTTGATTTTCAAGATTATTCTATTCAACTAGCACAATTTTATTAATTATATCTACAAAATCACTTTAAAGAATGTTTGGTAAGATAAATTTTAGATGCTCCTTGTATATTGTTATCCTATGCTCAAGAAATATGATTATTTAAAGAAATAATATTAATATATTATTAATGTGTTTGGTTCATTAATGTAATTATATAAAACTCAAATAAAATTATTTTCTTAAATTTAAAATTTAAAATATCTTAATTTGATATTTTACTTTTTTTATATGATTAAAAGAATATAAATTAATTTTTTTCTCAAAATAAATAAAAAATTACAATTTTTAGAAAGAAAAGGATAGTTACTGATAAAATTATAAGAACTTCGCTTAATTGGCAATTGCTAAAATAAAAACCTAGTCTCGTTTGACATGTAAGCTATCCCGTGAAAATTCTTCACAGATAAATAATAAAAAAGGATCGGTGAAGTCCCAATATATATATATATATATATAAAAATTGAATTTATTTATTTATTAATCATTATTACAGATTTATGTTAGTAGGTCACCATGGTCGAACCACAATATGCTCTGTTGTCCTCCTATTATTTATTCATTTTCCACTGCTCAAAATTTAATAAATTGCCCTGCTGTTCCTGGCAACAAAAGGAGGATAATATCCCCACCCAGAAGACCAAAGTATTTGATAAGCTATTCCGGGGCCTAATCTGTGAGGAATCTCAGTAACTTGGCGTCAGAGCGGCAGGCTGTAGGGATGAATCCTACCTGGGAATATTTGGTTCCAGTAAATTTTGATGCGAAGGTGACATGATCTCCCATTTCACCAACATGAACAACTTCTCAAAGTGAAAAAGGTGCTTTCTAACTCGATATAGATGTATGCTGTAAAGCAATGCAGCAACTGTTACTGCTGAAAAGGACAATATGATCAACTCCCAGAAATCCTGAACAACAATGCAGGTTAAGTTAATATACATCAAAGTATGAAATCAGGAAGGAAGATAAGAATTCTGATTCAAATATCCAGGGAAACAGGAAAGTTTAATGCTTGAAAGATGTATGATCCAAGGATGATTACCCGAGGGTTGGAGATGATTATGCCCATAACATAACCCAACAAGTCCATAAAAGACTGAAGAGAATTCTGAACACCTCCCACAACCAGACGATTATGCTCGGGAACTTGATCCTGTGCCGGCGAAAATGAAAAGAGTTAATTAGCATGCCTTATTTAAGGCACGATAAACAGGCATGAAAAGAGTTGATCTAGGAAAACACTAACAGAATTCATTGTTCTTTTAGCATGATAGGTTTTCTCACCTGCATTTGTTGGATTACAGATAAGTCAAACATCCATAAGCCAAGCCTAGAGATAGCTACTCCAGCCATCAGCATGTATGCTGACAAAAGATGATTTTGGACCCATATTGAAGCAATGCACACTAGAAGGCAGGTCCACTGCTTGCAATGCACAGAATAAGGAGAAGGGACAGTGATTAGTGGACAGAATTACTTTCAGATGATCTTAATTACTAAGAAATGTACCTGAGACCAGATTGACCAGAGTCCTGTTCTGAGAGTTGAAATACGAGATTGTAAGATTGGGTACACAACCGTCGCGGCTATTCCAATCATAGCGCTTATTCCACGGGCTATTCCGATCACATATGCAGGTATACCTTCCCATTCCAAGGCAGCTGTCATCAAGGTGCCAAAGCTGGAAAAATGTAATCACTAGTCAGCTGTAACAGAAAGGAACTACCCAAATCATATGAGATAATGGACCAAACAGAAAAAAACTGTCTCAGGTCAGTATCTCATGGCAGTAGTCACAGTCTCTGATGCTGTTCAGTTATTAGTCATAAACACAAAATCATAAGCGGGGCATTACCTAAGCACTGTGAAATATAACAAGGCCAGAGCTGCACCAGGGAGCAGAACATCTTGCTGTAAATACACAAGCCAGGCACCGACAAAAGGAACCTTTGAAAAGCTCTGAGTTAATCTCCTTCTCCATCCCAAATCCACCGAAACCGAATTTTCGCCTCCTGGAGAAATCAAGCCCTCTCTTTCTGGAGAAATAGACGTGATCTCTTCCATATCACTTCGTGAAAGTCTTGAAATCCTCCTTTGGCTACTTTCAGCTAAAGCTGGAATGCCATTATGTACAGATGTGAAAAGCCAATATTCTAGCCACACTGCTATAGTGTTCCAGATTGCTAAAGTCATAGCAGAGGCTTTAACAGATACAAAGCTCATGATGAGGCCACTAATAACAGGAGCAAGAAGCTTGCAGGTTAAATCAATTCGTCTAATAATCGAATTAATCCTCGTTAGAACACCAGGTGGATGGCCTTCTGATATCACCACCACCCTGCATTTTGAAAATAACTATCATCACATAAGAAAATGTAAAACTCTCTCTCTTCAAAGTACAAACGTGATCCTCTAATTACCATTCTCTTTCTATTAAGATGGTGCCGGCAAGAGTGGAAAGCACCCCAACAGCTCCAGAGAGGTTGGTTAATATCACAAGTAAGATGAATGCTGTGAAATTTGTCGACTTCAAGTCTGGATAGAATAGTAATGCAATTACTGTGCATCCAGCTATTATAAACGAGAGATTCTGGGTCACCAACCAAATTCGGAGAACCTGCCAATAAATGTCCATTGAGCAAATGCACATGCTTGAAAGCCAGCCACATAAAAACATCCATCAAAGCTTATTCATCGTATTCTTGTTTCTCGAGATGAACACAACATAAATTCTTGTGGCCTTTCAGAAGATGGTGAAAGGCATTTGTGATTATATTGGTCAGAGGAGACTAGAGCTAATGCGAGAGAAATTAGATTTGATATGTCAGACCTGTTTGTTTCCGCGGCCATGCCGGATTTGATATGTCAGACCTGTTTGTTTCCGTGGCCATGCCGTCTTTTTTAAAAGTTTTTTTTTTTAAATAATTTTTTTATGTTTATATATTGTTTTGACATATTAACATTAAAAATAAATTTTAAAAATAAAAAAATATTATTTTAATAAATTTCCAAATAAAAAAAAACCACAATTTTAAACATTTTACAACTTTTCACTGAATTCGAGTAATGTTCTGTGCATTTCGAACTGAGTTGCAAAGCCCAACCGGAGGTCTCATTGGGCCATAAGCTCAACTGAACAAGTGGGAAAAACAAGGAAAAGAAAGAGAAGGAGGAGGGGAAAAAGTTCAGGAAGAAAGAGAAAGGGCACTGGCTGGGATTTGGCCCAACTAGCTGGAACAAAAAAAACCTTAATTGACCCAAGAAGCCTATCTCGAGCGTTGTGTGGAAAAGAGAGAGAAAACTAGTTAAAACCAAGGAGAAAGGAGTGAATAAAAAAAGAAAAGCAAAACACGACACAGTAGCTCCACCAAAGCTTCGATAGATGCACACTCGAGACCAGTAGATTCCTTTTGAGGAGATGAAGCTAAAGACACCAAGGAAAGCCATCATCGAGATTGCACAATGCCGCCTCAAGACAATGGCTTCATCCACGCACTAACGCATGTATTACATACATTTTTTCTTCTTCTTTTTTTCTTTTTTTTTTCTATTTCAGTTCTTGATTCTTTTAACAACTCTTTAATTTAGACCAACGAAGCTAAAGAAGGCCACACTCGGGGAGAGATAAGTGAAGGAAAAAAGAGAGAAACATATTGACACTCCAAATAATGTTTCAGCATGCTCATGTTGTTGTAACCATTTACTAGTATTCTTCGTTCTACACGGCACTCACTTGATTCTTCATTTTACAAGCTCTTGGTACGAATTGTTAGTATATTGTCTACTTGAAAGCCATGTCACACAAATTAATATCATGATGTTTATAAGAACAATTTGTCTTACAGGATATCTACGCGGTGAATGTAATTATTCTCCATTACTCTATGTGACTCCACTTTTCAAATGGCAATTTCACATGATCTACGATACATAGATATCTAAGTTCACTAGGTGACCAGCAATACAGAACCACACACAACAATCACAACGTATACTCTCCTACTCTCTCATTATTTTTTTTTATTATATGTTGTTTTTTCCTGCATGTTTGCTAACTTGAGCGTTGAAGGGTTCTCTATGGATCTAGAATAGTTGTTTTGTAGGAGCTCGTGAGTCATTGGCTTAGCCTAACTTCAATATATATATATATATATATATATCCAAGGCCTATTGCGCCAACAGTGAAAAAACCTAAGTTTAATTTGAAGTTTTAACAACTGAGTCACAAACTATCATGAACTTCGAAGAAAATTTGCAGTTTTAGTACCAAATGTCTATAAACGTGAACATTTTGTAATTAAGGGATCTTTTAAAAAAATTTCAATAATGTATTGCAAACAAAAAGAAAAGGGAATTTATACGCTTTCTAAAATTTCATC